GCATCCTGTGACTAGTGTGTTATAAAGTGAACAGTACTTAAACACGATGATAGAGACAGACAATACATCAACGTTACATCATTAGAGGACAAGTAAGCAAAGATATTTGAGATAAATATACGCAGATATGCATCCACACTTACCCTCACACATAAAATAAGCATAATCAGGACTGAGGACATTTGCCTGGCACCCACATAAACTAGGAATGTTGGCACATGCCTGTATTCCCGGATCAGAAGTTTAAGATCATCTTCAGCTATATAGTGAGTTCAAGGCTAGCCTGGGCTACACAAGATGCCGTGTCAAAAATGAGGATTTATGGCTATTGCAGTCTCCACTTCTTGTGAGTGACCACACATGGTCGTTTCTGGTACTTCCCTCTCTCTCTTCTAGCATCCATTCCACACTTCCTTTGCTTCAGCAAGAGACTCCACTTCTGAGGTTCGAAACCCAGCTGGGACCTAAAGCTTCATTTTGGGACTTCATTCAAGGATCTGCCTGAGCACAAGTGCTGTCCCTTTCCACTGACTCTAATCACAGGGCATGGGAGCACAGAGTCACCTAAAGACACTTTGTGTTCTACACACTCTTCACCACACTGTGGGGAAAGTAAACCAGTTCTCTTGGTGTTCGGGGTCCAGCCTCCAGCAGCACTGGCTGTTCTGTCCTCGTTGCCTGTGGTTGCAGAGGTATGCTAGTTCAGCGGGATCAGCATTTTACTGATGGCAGTGTCCTTCCTGTGTACACCTAGCGAGTATGCTGTGTGAGAGTAAGGCTTTAGTCTGTGCTGATCTTGCCTGATGCACTGGCACCTAGAAGGTACTCGGTGAACACTGTCAACCTGCTTAGGATTGGCTGTTATTATTCTGGGCTCCTGTCTTGGTAAAAGTCCTCACTGGTCATCCTTGACCCTCAACCTGAGACCCAGGTCTGTCCTAAGAGCCCTGGATCCAAACCTTCCCTTCGGGTGACAGGGCGGCCAGGTGAGTGTAGGCCTCAAGTCTAGCATTCTTGTATTTCTAGGACTATTTACTAGACTGTTCTGGAACAGCAAGCCTGTTTCCAACCTCCTGGCGCCCGCCACTCTCCACCTTAGTCTTCTGTTTGAAGAACTATTTAGATTCCAAGCCTACACTCCACAGACGCCTCCGGCCACCCCGTGCCCCGTGAGCTCTAGTGAGGGGGGAGGCAGTAGAGAATGCTCAGGGTCTCTTGTTGACCAGGGTTCCCGGTGGCCAAGACTGCACACAGGCATGCGGGAGAGCGAGGCCTCTGCTCTCACTCAGTGTTTGTTATTCCATGTCATAGGCTTATCATAAACATTATCCTAGTGTGGGCCACTGAGGTTCCTTCCAAGGGAGGTTTGTTGTTCTAACGTGGCCGGGAGTAGAATGCCCAGAGGCCTGGGGGATTCTGGGAGCTGGAGAGGGAAGCAGAAGTCAGGGTGGCACTTCATTCTAAAGCTTGTGCCTCTGTCACCCTGTCGTGAAGGTCAGTGGCATGTCTGCCTCCTCCATGAGTTCCATGTGCTTAAAAACCAACTCACAGTCCCCATCAAATTCAAGCCCCTGCTGGGAAGCTGAAAGCCTTTGTTTGATGAAGGAGAGAAGGGAAAGGGGAGTGGGGGAAATGGACGGATATAGCTTCCCTCTGCTTGCTGCTTGCTGGAAGCACCAAGAATGCTCACAAAAGAGGACACAGTGCCTAAAGGCCTGCTTGTAGTAAGACAGTGGTCTGGAATTCCACCTCAGCTCTTTTTGTGGAGCTGGGTAGCCTACCACTCCCTCTGCTTCTGTCTGTTGAGCCCCATCTGTACGTCCCTGCTGTCTCTCTCCTCAACAGAGCCGAGGGAGGCCTTGTGAGCGGTGATGGCTAAGGATGTGTGTCAAATGTTCATCTCATATCACGAGCCTCCTCACCTCTCTTATTTAACGCCTCTTAATTTTATCTGGGAGTTTCTGTAAAGACTACATAACGAATCCACTTAGGAAGTTTATGATGCATAGTAGGTGCTCAATAAAACCAGGGGTCCTGATGTGAATGGGTGATGACTCCCCTATGAGTTACAAAGAGTAGGTATGGAGCAGGAAGTGGGGGGCACACGATTCAGGGTCAGCACCTTCCTTTGTAGTGATTCCTCAGTGTCTGATGTTTGTGATGTTGGGGTTCAACAGTGAATGAAAAGACAGAGTGCCGAATCAATTCCACAGGACACGTGCCTCTGAAGTGGTCTGTGTACAGAGAGTCGGTGGGAGGCACCAGATCCCAACAAGATACAGTTAATGTCACAAACTAGCTGAGACATGCAGGGAGCTCTCAAACTCTCAAATGGCCTGACGGGCCCTTGGCTTCCTGTCTGCAGCACTCCAACAGGAAGCACCCCTGGCTGCTTTACAGAGATCCAGAGAAACAGTGGGTGTGGCTGTGCCAGTAGACACCAGAAGGTCCTGCATCATCAGCCTTGTGACCCAAGGCTAGGTCAGGACACTTGGGTAGAAGCCCTCTGCCCAGCTCCTGTATAGACTCCTGCACACCCCATCCTACCTGCCTGAGATGCTGTCCCCTCTCTTATTTTGCACTATGAATGCACAAAATGAGATCTGGGGTCCTTAATGGGCTCTGGGGTCCCTGTGGAAACCCCTATAGCAAGAGGGCATCCCCACCCCATCCCCAGCCTCCCTCGTATCGACAGGACCTTACTATTTAAATCAGTTACATGTTCAAGACTACAAGTAAGATTCCTTTGGAAGAAACAATAGCAACAGAAGAATTCTATGGCTAAAAGCAGTTTGAAACCTCCGCACCAGATGAATTCTTAGGACCCTCGCTCTCCCAGCACCGAGCTGGGAAGATTTGGCGTTATTTTCTCCTAAGTCTTATGTAACAAACACGTACTCAGCACTCACTTCATGCCAGGACCGTTCTTAACACCCTACAGCCGGGAATACACTTAATCCCCTGGAATACCTCCCGGCTTCATCAGGCCACATCATTGCAGACCTGACTTCATGAGTCAAGCAGGGTCCAGGGGAGACATTTACCCTCCAGCCAGGTCTTCTGGTACCCAGGCAGATGGTGCCCAGGTCAGGTGGTGCCTTGGCAGGACTGATCTAAGAAGCAGCAGATCAGGTGTGTGCAGCAGCTGGATGTGACCACAGGAAGTCCCTGTGTCTTGGGCCCTCAGAGGAGGCATGTGGGTCAGCTCGACACGGACACTTTCATCAGAGGCATGCACCCTGTGGGAGGAAGTGCTTGTTGCCTTAGCAATATCCACAGCAGAAAACGTCACTGCCTCCTGTAATTCATCCCCAGCCACCAAGCTGCCATCGACACTCTGCACCAGATGGCTGAAGATCTGATTTCAGCGGTGGCAGCCAAAGCCCAGAGGCCTGGAGAAGGCCCAGACGTGGGGCAAGGGGTCTGACCTCACCTGCAGCCCTCTCATTAAAGGGAAGCGTGTGGGTTTCTACAGTTTGTGCAATCCAGTTCTCCTGCCATTAACAAACACAGAGGGAACCCAAGCATGGCCTTATTGCCTGTGTCACCATATTGTCCTGGCCCTGTACACCTATTTCAAAAGCTTTTTATTCAGATTACATGTCTTGGCGGGAATGTCTGCCAGCCTTCTAGATGTTTTCCATAAGTTCTTATAAGGCACCTTTAACTATGAAGGGAACCGCAGGTCCCCAGGTCCTAAAGAGAAACAGAGATCACACTGCCCTCTCTTCCCCAGGCAGGGTGCTGAAAGCTACAGATTCAAGAGCCAGGAAGGATATACTTCCTGACTTCAGAAAACACAACCTACTGCAAGACTTCAGTTAAACACATCGAAAAGCTAATATATACACACTGGCGGAAGGAAGCATGGTCCATCAGTCATCTGTCACTGAGATCATGCTGTGTAACAATAGCATGCAGAGCTCAGGTAGCCTCGACCAGTTGCTGGTAGGCTCCACTGATTTTGGTGGTCTCACATGTCTGGAAATTGGCTGCCTGTCCACTGGTCTGAGTGTCACTCACTGTGTAAGTTTTGCCCTGTGTGTCTCCCACCCTCCATCAGAGTGGAGTCAAAGGCAAAGAGTATGTGAAGACTGGCTAGCCACAGCACCCAGGTGTCATGTTTCAGGCCTTCCTGTGTAATGTTTACTGCCATTGTCCCATTGGCTGAAGCAGGTCCAGCATCAGAATGAGTGGGATCAACAAAGTCCCTTAGTTGGCAAAAAAGAAAAAAGTCTCTGATGCTAGACCTTGTGGTACAGACTCCAGCTCAAGCCATGTACGTAAACTGCCCTCTATGTCCTGGGCCTGTTTCCCTGTCTAAAATTGGGGTTTCTGGCTAGGTATGGTGGTCTGCGCCTATAATGCCAGCATTTGGGAGGTAAGATAGGAGGACTGTGAGTTCAAGGAAGCTGAGTCTACGTAATGAGAATCTGTCTCAAGTAAACAAAAGTGAAGGCTGAAGCAGGTGGTCTCCCAGGGCCTGTGTCTAAGACCCCTGTGCTCTGGGGGAGCCATGAGCTTCAAATGCTATAAACTGTGTAGAAAGTGCATGGGAGCCTGGGAAACATTCTGTAGTTTACTCTAAGTGGCCCTGATGTCTGGAAACTTCATCCTTGGAGCCAGTAGCCCAGAGATCAGAGGAGATGGAGGGAGCATCTGCTGAACGCATGGGACGGTGGGCTCCAAGGATCCTGCTCCTGAGGCCACTAGGACTGGACACAGTACTTAACTTTGATTTCTATTATTCATTGCCTTGACTGCATTTGGGGTACTCTTGACTATAAAACGGGTTTCCTTGTTCTAGAATACTTCTAAGCAAAGCAGAACAAAGGAGTCAAGAGGCAGACTCACCCCAAACTCCAAACTCGGATGGTTTGCCATGTCATACTCCGTCTGCTCCATGCCTATAGCCCCAACGTCCTGAGGGTGGAGGTCGGCTCCCAAAGGCCAACCAGTCCCTGAGCACATCCCTGATGCCCTCCTCTTTCCTCGGCCAGGTGCTGTTTGCCCTGAACCAGACTCTGCTGCAGCATGAAAGCGTGCGGGCTGGGAGCCTGCAGGCCCCCTACACCACAGAGGACCTCATCAAACACTACAACTGCGGGGACCTCAATGCGGTCATCTTCAACCATGACACATCCCAGGTGAGGCCCTCCTCTCTTCCTGCCCTGATGGCCACAGCATCACCAGCTACGAAGACCTGGAGCTAGGCCCACATGGTCGCATCTGGCATTTATCAGATGCCTACTGTGTAGTGGGTATAGGCCAGCTTCTCACCAGCTATGATAAATAGGAGCTACTGTCATCTCCTTTCTAGAGGGGGAAACTACAGCTCGGAAAAGAGCAGACTTACGTGCTCAAAGCTGCATAGCTTATTGCTGTTAAAACATCAAGAACAGCAACTTGAACCAGAAGGTTTCCCACAGAAGAGAAAACCTAGTTACTGTGAGCTTGGCCTTGAATCTGTCTCAGGACCTTCTACTTTGATACAAATTCTAGAGCAAAGGTCACAAACAGGCTAGCAAGACCCTGAGTAGGGCCCCAAATGGTTGAGTTTGGCTTGACCTTGTCCACTCTTTACCACAACTCCTCATTGATTTCCAACAAATTCCCAGACACTCCATCTAGCACTCAATGATCCTCTAAGACCTACCCTCTGGGAGCTTTGTCACAGCCCATACTCCCTGCCCCAGGTCTGTGGAATTTACAGCTTGTCACTTAGTACTTCTGAGTCTTGGTCCAGGCTCTTCCTTCCTTGGATCCCTCCAACTTGATCGTGGTTCAATGCTGCCCACTCTGAGAAACCGCCCCAGTGCCCTGGATGGAATCAGGTATCTCCCCAGGGTTTCCTCTGCTGTGGTACTTGGATGTTCATCCACTCAGAAAGCTCAGGTTAGGCAAAGGAGGTCATATCCCTGTTCTGGACCTGCCCACAGCCCCCATTTTCTCAGGGCAAAAGCCAGTTTCTGCGGTGATGTGTGTGCTCCTCCTGTTCTGCCCCTGCTCCTGACCCCACGTCCTACATACACCCAGCAGCACAGTCTACCGCATCATCTCAAGAACCCATCTACAATCTTCTGCCTTTTCACTGGCTCTTCCCTCAGCATACGTGCTTCTCCCAGATGACACCATAATGTGCTCCCTCTCCATCTTCAGGCATCACCAGATCCATAAGACTAACCTCATTCACCCTGTCTGAACTGTAGTCTGAATGCCTCCCCCCAAATAGACCAACTGTCATTACTTTATTATGCCCCACATTGCTCCCATGGACTGGAAGGCCCTCTAACACATGACACACTCATTAGTGTGTCCTTCATTAGTGACTACTTACTATCCAGCCCTTCCCACTGGAACACAAGCTCCATGAGGGCAGGATTTGGGTCTGCCATTAATTCTGAAGTAGGACTCCGCAAATATTTGCCAAATAACTGAAATAGTCTGTCAGTGAGGTAGCACCATGAACAAAGGGATGTGGTGGGGATGCCAGGGAAGACAACTCTCATGAGGAGCCTGGGAGACCCAGGAAATCACTGCCTCATATAGGGACCCTTGCTGTGGGGACAGCTACAGCCCATGGCAGGAATCTCTCCGTTAGATATGGCTGCAGCTGAGATTGGGGCAATAACAAAAGATTCCTGTAAAGTAGAAGGCCACAGAAGAACCGCCATGAGCCACTGGGAGGAATGTTCCAGCATTGAGCCCAGTGTGCGAGTGAACCAGAGACCCAGAGAAGAAATGGGGAGAGTTCTGGCTGGAGGCCAGCCAGACTGGGGCCACAATGTTCTGTCTGTGCTTGCCACCCAACCCCCAGACACAGGCTCCCTGAGGGCAGGGATGAGCTGCTCATCCCTTGGTCCCCACGGTTCTAGAGAGATCCCTTGGCGCCTGGTGCAGAGTACTTGCCAGTGAGTGACTGTCACGCATAACACTGTAGGTACATCATGTACTTAGGGAAGCTTAGAGAATGGAAGAAGGGACCCAGCCCTTACTGTGGGAGGCTCCAGGTCTGAGGACTCTAGTCTCGGTGGTGGAGGAGCGAGGAGTGGAGCCTGACACCATGAACAGATGCCGCACTTTTGGTGAGCCTCACTCTGAATCTACTAAGGGCCAGGTTCAGAGCGGGTAGATTCCACAGCATAGAGAGCTTGGTTACAAATTGGATAACTGACTATGAAGTGGCTTCCCTAAGGAAGAAGAGGTAGACAGGCCAGGCCTGTGGCTGACAGTAACACAAGTGAGAGATGTAGGTAATGAGCTTGGGCAGGGGTCAATTCAGATTCCCTTTGAACTTCTGTCCAGAAGCACTGCTGATCTTTGATGGCAACAGCCATGCTCCCCAACAGAGCAAGTGTTCCTCTCAGATTTGAGTCATAGTCCAGGCTGCATATGGGGTACCCAGGAAACCTGCCCCAAGGTGCAGAAAAGCCAGGGTCACAAGGCTGAACCCTGCCTTTGCACATCTTGCTATATGGGGCCGCATCTGCAATCAGAGGCCTCTCGGCATCCGGGTCTGGGGATCTCATCACCCTGATGCAGTCAGGAAGGCTTCATGGTAATTGTCAAGTAGGAACTAAACTCATTAGCAGAGGTCCTAGGTGACAATGACAGCTAACAGGAGGGACTGGTGGGTGTCTCGGGGGGCATGGTTTGCATGGCAGAGAACAGGTGTAGGGTGGGAATGCAGCTGAGGAGTGGAAGTCAGGGAGCATTGCAGTCAGAAAGATGCCCCGGCTGCAGTGGGGAGGGTGATAAAATAGCCTTTGGAGGCTATATTGGAAGAAGTGCCTGAGGCCGATGCTCCTTCCCCCCCAACTGTGTGCATTCCACCACCACCACCCTCTACGGTAATTGTGCCCAGTCTCTGAAGCTCTGGCTCACTGATGTTGTTGGTGTCCATGGGAGGGCCACATAACAGTAGCCACATGTTATGTTTTACCCAAACCCAGATACTTTTGGCAGTAGATTATTAATCAGACTTAAGATAGTTGACAACCGTGTAGCAGTCTCCTCCAACCACAATCCTAGGCTGACCTGGACAAACCAGACCACATAGCCACACATCAGGACCTGCTGTGAGCCCTGCTCCCCTCCTCATCCATTCCAACTACATACCCCACAGTATTCTTACAAACATGGCTGACTCTCATACTGGGCAGGTACCTCATGAGAGACAGCAGATCCAGCCTGAAGGTGCGGGGGGGGGGGGGGGTGGTCCCTAGCCTGACACAGAGCAGGACCTAGGAAGGTCCTCAGAGGTTGTCTACTGGGTAGGTGGACACAGGGAAGTGGGTGGTTGGGTATTATCAACAGATCCAGGCACTTGGTCTACATTGAATCCCTCCCCCATGACCTGACCACAGTCCTGCCTGGCCCATCTCCTTGTCACTCCATCACACACCAGTCTCTCTGAGGCTCTAGGGACATTCCATGATCTCTTCAAAATGTTATCATATGCCCTGCACTTAAACTTGTCATGGGAGATTTAAGGCCCCAGACAAGTCTAATGACATCATTAATTTGCTTCTCCCCCAGCCCTGGCCCAAACCCAGGCCCCATCCTTGGCGTGGGGCCAAGGCCCTCAGCATGAGACACACAGAGAGTGGCTAGGAAGCCCAGGGAAAGCTGAATGCCCAACTTCTTCGTGGTTTTGAAATACTCTTTTCCTTGTCCTTCTTGTAAATGCCTTCAGTTCCCTGGGGGAATCTTCTTAGGGTATGCCCCTATGGGCAGAAAGTATAGCAGGAAGGAAGAACATGTGCCCACAGATCCCATAATCCATGAGAGAAGGAAGGGAATCAGACCTCTGTCTTCACATCTCTCTGGTGGTTCTAATGACCATCTGTCATCTCTGGAGGCCACCCTTCTCTAGAAACCTGTGACATCATACGGGAAGGCGACAATGAAGGTGAGGTGTATAACTCAGTCTTTTCACAGTGCCTAACTGTGCTAGCATCTTCCAAAGCTGGTCTCATTGAATACATGCAATAAGCCATGCATGTCACGCTGTTACCAGAGAGGAGTGTGAGACTGAGAGAGACCATACCCTAGTGAGCACCCGACAATGAAAATGGCAACCCAAGCTGCCCTGGCTGTGCTCATCACCACTCTTCCTCAGCCGCCACTCAGCCTGCCCATCCAGCCACTTGCTCACTGACTAAACAAACACTTATGTGTAGTAGAGCATGGCCTCCTTTCCTCTCCCATACCCCATAAACGGGGAGAGGCCTTTGGGAGACAGTGTTTCCAGAAACAGCCCTTCTAGTCATGGCCTCTCTGTTCTCCACCCTGACTCCAAATCTTTAGCGTCTCCTGTAACTGCATCAAGTCAAGTGTGACCTAGTTCATCAGGGCTGCCAGTCACCCCTTCCAGGGTGGAGGAGGGGAAGGCCAAACATGCAGTCTCTGGGTGCTAGCTCTGTACTGGCCTAGGCAGGAGCAGGGCTGCTGTGTACATTGTATACACTGTGCACTGCTCATGTTGAGACAATCATATTGTTTCCATATTCATCTCAGAGCAGTGAGTCTGGCCTCTCTGACAAAGGGGCCATATGGTACAGGTGCTCTTACCACCCATTCACCCACTGGTCCTTGGCCAGCATACCAGAGGCAGATTCAGTCTCTGTTGACTCCCCCATCTTCTCCAGAAAGGATGTTGACAACTCAGCAGTGGCTGGGCTAATTATTGGCTCTTCTGAAAGACTGAGTTCTCTAGGAAGTTGGCATCTTTAGGCACAATCTCCCCTCATCTTTCAGTCAGGATGTTACTTAGTGCTCGGGTAGAAGACAATGAAAAATGGAAGATGTTCTATGAGCAAGAACTTGGAAGATGTTGTGACCGTGGGTAGATTGAGAAGAGAAACAGTGTGTTTTGATTCATTGCCTTAGTTCCCGCAGCAGCCCCCATGCATATATGTCGGAGGAGATAGTACTCCAATGCCAGGATCTACCATCCAGGCCAGACAGATGAAATGATAATACAGAAGTCCAGAAGTAGTAGTGCAATCTTATTATAGTAAAGGCTTGATTCCCGATAGGCATCCTCATAGCAGGCCCTGAGGACTTGGAATGACATAACTTCATCCTTGAACTCAGGGATCCCTCTGATTAGTTCAAAAGCACGTCAAAAAATCTGTTGCCAGGCCTCAGACTAGATGTGGAGAGGAGTAAGGGTAAAGGACCCAGACCTATAAGGATGGACAAGCCCTAGGCAGCTTATCCCACAAGCATCAGGCTGGAAGGATCTGTGATCTTAGAGGAGTTTTCAAGAAAAGACAAAGGTCTGGAAGTGTGAAGCAGATGGGCAGATAGCAGCTCAGACATGGGCAAAGCCAAAAGTGCTGCCCTCCTGACTCGGTGGAGCAGAAGGCAGAGTGCTGCCTGGGGGCACACGTCATCTCATTTAGTCCCTCCCATTACATTGGTCCTTCCTACAAGAGAGCCAGGACTCTGCAAAGTGGAGTAGCTTGTTCAGTATACCCACCATCAGAATTGAAGCCAAAGCCCAAGTCTCCCTAACCCCCAAGCTCTCCGGCCTTCTTGCCATACCTGTCATCGACACCCTCTTGCTGAACTAGGTTCCTTGTCCAGGACACGCTGATCTCAGGGCTGAAGAAAGAACATAAGGAACTCAGCATGGCCCCAACCTCTCGAGAAATACCAGGCAGGCCTGTGTGGGAGTCTTACCACCAGGGAATGTGGCTGGACTGTGACTGTCCTAGCTGTAACTACACATGTCTCAGGATTCCCCCACCCCCTTGCTTCACATGTAAAACAAGAATAATACTCGTCTTTGATGTCCTGAGGGTTGATGAACCAGGAAACACAGGGCCTGCTATAGGGCCTCAGAAAGGTGAGTTGCCAGTCCTACCTGGACTGTGCGTTTATCTGACATGTGCCCTGCTCCATCAAGACCTAAAGGTGGCTTCTCTTACCATTGCAGCTACCCAATTTCATCAACACCACCCTCCCACCTCATGAGCAGGTGACAGCCCAGGAGATTGACAGCTACTTCCGCCAGGAGCTCATCTACAAGAGGAATGAGCGCATGGGGAAGAGAGTCATGGCGCTGCTGCAGGAGAACCAGGACAAGATCTGCTTCTTTGCCTTTGGAGCAGGTTTGGCCCCGACCTCCTCTCGTCAAGGGAAAAGCTGAGGATCAGGAGAGGCGGGAAAGCCACGTGGTAGCCAGTAGCAGAGCTAAGATGCTAGCACTTCCCCAGATTCTAACCAAGTAGTCTTTCATAGCATCTTCCTTGACAAGGGAAGCAGCCCCTGCCCAGTCCATGGTAACTCTTACAGCCTCTTCAAGTGCCAGGTGGACTTGTAAGAGCCCCAAACAATCCTAGTGTGCCCAGCCCAGCCTGGACCCACCCAACTCAGAACCAGGATTAATAATAAGGGTCCTGTGGCCACAGGGGTAAGGGAGGTGGACTTTGACATCCCACAGTTCAGACTCCAACTCCAATCAGGCCATATGTCATGTCACCCTAGCTGGTACTTTCCCAAGGCTCCAATTTTTTCTTCTGTTAATGGGAAAGATAGCATTAGATGTTTGATGAGTTAAAAGTTTCTGTGATGTAGAGTAGTTGTAAGGATATGTGACATTTAAGTAACCTGCTGTGTAGTGGGGATCCAGAATGGCAGCAACAATCATCATCATCATCACCATTATAATGAACTTAAGCAACACCATGGCAACACGGGGCATGTGCCAAATGTTTCTGGGGAATCTTTCTTCTCCTGAAAAGGGAACTAAAGATGTCTACACATGGTTCCCTGGGGTCTCTATTTTTTCTCTGCCCCTCCTCACCTCTTCTACCTTCCTCTGTGGCAATCTCTGCAGTGGCTGCATTGGGGCCGGGATATTGAATTTGAGTTCTTTGTCAGTCAACTTTTGCTCAGTGACTTATGGTAACCATTTACTTCTTGTCACCTGCATTTGGGGAATCCATCTGCGTTTTATGAGAATTAAAAGATACAGCCAGGTGTGATGTTGTACACCCACAATCCAAGCACTCTGGAGACAGAAGCAGGCAGATCTCTGAGGCCAGACTGGTCTAGCTAGACAATGCAAGGCCAGCCAGAGATATGTAGTGGGACTCTGTCTCCAGCAAACAAGATGGCAGCTTGTATCTTCATCAGTCTGCTGCTCTGCCCTCTCTTTATATGGCCTTTACCCTCCTCGCCAAGAAGTCAGTCCAATTCACAAGGGCCCCGATGGGCAGCCTGACTTTGTAATTGGGCTGTCTACTGTCTATGTCTCCCTACCCGCATTCATCTCCAAGTATGTCAAGGGCAAGAGCCAGGGATATATTTATCCAGGCTGTTCTTCTCCCTTCTGAACCTCCATTGTGGCGAGGCTAGTGGGAGGAGCTCAGTCATGGATTCAGGCCCTTTGAAGACAGCTCATTAAAGACACAGAAGCTGCACACAAAGAGCTCTGGATTCCTACTGGCTCTGCTGTGGCCCACGGTGGCCTCCAGCAAGTCTTCTCCCTCTTACAACCTCAGTTTACCCACTTACACAGGAGGGGCTGGCTTTGACTTACACTGTCTCAGATTACGGGCTGTCTGGGATTCTGGCACAGGTGAGGAGACAGGCTTGGGGCGGGGGGAGTCTCAGAAGGGCCTCCTGGAGGAGCCTATAGGAACAGAACCCAGAGTAAATACAGAGAGCTAGGAGGACCACTCTCCCTTTTGCAGGATATATGAAGGGGGCCTGGTGCGAGCCAGGTAGCTGTGAGGACCTGTGCAAAGAAGTGCACCCCCGCCCAGCACCTCTCCTCTCACCACACGGCTGCCTCTGAGCAATGATTCTGTCCTCCGTGGCCTTAGCTGACTGCAAAAGGGCAGCCGTTGGAATCACCTAGATCCCTGGTTCCTCAGACTTGCAGGATCCTCTAGGAAGCACAGCCACTGAGCGAGGCCAGTGAGAGAGCAGGATGCCCCTCCAAAATGGGTCCAGGTTGCAGGTCTAAGGTTACCCAGAAACCAATGGTCTTTTGGCACCAGCTCTCTCCAGTAGCTGAGGAAGCTGAGAGCCTAAAGAAGCAAAACATGGACCGTCTTGTGACATCCCAAGCCACAGGGTACAATGATCCACTCAAGCACCTTTTCAAATCCAAACATCCTGCAAAACAAAACAAACAACAAAAAAAGAGTGGAGATAGACACAGAAAAGGATCTCAAAGTCCTTACTTGGCAACACTAAAAACTGGCAACTTGTGTTTCACCCCACGCCCATCCACATTGCTTTTCTATGGGAAGTAGTTTGGCATAATAAAGGGAATAAGGGGAGAGGTGCTGCCAAGTTCAAGGCAACTTTTGTGGCACTTTTAAAGCCTCATTACCTAAGTGAGACGGCAGAGGTCACCGGTATAGAAAGCGGTAGGAAAGGAATAAGGGAGCAAGGGGAGAGAGTTGGTCTCCAGGCAGAAGAGGGCACCTCCTCACCTAAAGTGTGTATGAGCATGGCTTCTAACCAGCCCTGCTCTTCCTGTTGGAAGGGGAAGCCGAGAAGGAAGACAAAGGGCTCTTGGTTAGAAGAGGGGAAAGCATTTGACATGAATCCAAGAGAAGCTGATCACAAACTTGACCAGGACAGGAAGTTAGAGGGTTAATTTGTGGTTGATTGCTAGTAGGTGCCTAGAGTGTGGTGTTGTAAAACAACCACATCAGAGCCCAGTAAAGAAGAGCCCTGCCTGATCCATAATGTCTGCTGGGGGTCAGCATTCAAGCAGGTGCCTGCCAGGTGCTTGCTGTCTCTGCTGGAGATGGAGGCCCATAACCCTATGGAGTTGCAAGTGGTTTCTCTAGCAACACCCAGCAGCTAGCACTTAAAGAAGCTGCCTCCTGGTTTTACCTGCACACTTGCCCTGCTCTGTGACCTCCGGTGCGTGTGAACTGTATCAAGACAGTGCCCACAGTCTCAAAATTGCTAGCACCTGGCAGATTTTGTATAAATACATGGTCAACCAAATCTTGCAGAATTAAGTTTATCTCATTCAGTCCCCGGGGCATCTCGTGAGTGAGAGGGACCTTACTAGACACTAGGAGGAAATGACAATTTTATCCTTCGTTTTGGGAAATAGATTTTCTCAGGATACTTATTTGTTCAACCACCCAAGGATTTTGTCGCATCTTGTTTTCAATAATAAAATGTGTGTTCAGGAACTGGAGGGGCTGAGTGGAAGCAGGAGTCACCAGCAGGTTGGAGTCGGGGGCAGGCGGGTAACTTCTAGGGTCCCTCCATTTCCAACTCCAACAGTTGAAAGTTATCCATTTCTGTGGCTCTAGCACACTTTAGTCTGAATAAAATCCAAACTTCTGACACCCACAATCCTTGGACCCCAGCATCCTATTGGACTAATTGCCCAGTTGCCATATCCTGGCTCTCTAGGATCACAGCATTTAACATTCCAGCATGGTTTTTGCAGTTACTCTTGGAGACTTGGGAGTGGCATGGAGCCTTGCAGAACCTGTGCATGCCTTCCAGGGCATCCACCAACTGCCCCACAGAAAGAGAAGTCCAGAAAGAAGGCAGGCGGAGTCAAAGACACAATTTTGTTCTCTGAGTATTGGAACATCCAGAACACTCAGCCTTCAGGCTGATGAAGGGCATTCAGAACCACAATCATGGGCCCGAGGCATGAACACACTAGTGGTAACGATTTAAACTTGGTGGAAAGGAGAGGTATACGCCCACCATACTGAACCATGAGATCACTTTAGCTAAAGGCAAGTGCATTGACAGAGATATCGATCAAAGATAAAGCTTTTGCTCAGCATTAATCCAACACCAAAAAAATAATGAATGAATGAATGAATGAATGAATGAATGGGCTACTTCCGGTAGAAGGCACATTGTTCTGTTTGACTATCTGCTCATACAATCCCCATACTCCTGTAAGAACAGGATATTCCTTCAGTTCCATTTGGCAGACAGATAAGTAGATATGCACACAGGAAGCAAGAGAGCCTTAGAGTTCTCGTGAGATGATGGTGATGGTCCTTCCTTGTGTCTAAGCTCCCCAAACATCATCCAGCTACGTGAGTCCTCTGTCTTAAGTTCCCACAGTGTCCTGCAACTTCATCCTCACTCTGCTCACACAGAGCACTGTCATCTCTTAGTTCAAGTGGCACCACTGGAACTTAGAAGATGCTCATCCTCACTTGTTGAATGAATGAATGAATGAATGAATGAATGAATGAGATGACCCTGTGGTATGTAAGCAAAAGTGCCATTTACTCCTATGGTACCCCAAGCAAAATTTGATCCAGAATCTAAGTCTTCTGTCCCCATGGTAAGAATTAGGGCCTCCGGCAATCTGTGCCTACCTTTTGGAAGGTGGGACTACAGTAACAAAAGGCCTGAGACCTCACTAGAAAGAGAGTCCTAGGCCCTGTTGATCAAACCACACAGGCTGAGGCAAGAGGCAGAGGCTTAATGCTAAACAGGGTTTCAGGGGCGGGGGGTGGAGGCAGCAAATGGTAAGAAAGAGAATCGGTGAGAAAAGTAAGCCACAAGAGTTAAGTCCAAGCCGTGAGAGTGGCAAAGGGAAACAGCTTGGTGTCATGGAAACAGCTTGCCTTCTGAGATATTCCTGTAGTCTTCTCGGAGTCCTTCCCAGTCCATCTGTCTACCAAGGGACCCACAAGAGGTGAGGTGTTAGGTTCCTTCCAGACCCTGCGTCCCACACCCCAGGCATGTTGGCAGAGCCTGACTCGGAGACGGTTTCCTGGAGAAGATGGGAGCCAACTGAAATGTCCCTTGTGCAGGTCCAGAGGCCCTCCAGTTTTTCCCGTCAGCCCCTAGTCCTCAAGACAAGGTCCATCCTTGCCTGCACTTGCACCTGCTTCTCAACTCACTGCCTTCGGGAGAGAAGCTCCTCAGAGCTTTCAGATGGCCCAAGGACAGCAGAGTCTAGAGCAGGGCTACACTCCTAATAGTTTCTTCCCCTCCCCCACAGCATCTATGTGTGTCCTGCTCTGCTAGCACAAACATGAGGCTAAACCTTCCAGAAGTGCTTCAGAATTCCCAACACTGCTGAAAGAGCCCTGTGACCATACCGCACATGCAACAGGCATCTAGAGACTAGCATGTTCTCAACGGCTGC